TCATTGGGGATGAACACGCTTAGACAAGTGTTCTGTACTGGGCTTCAGGAGATGATCCTGCAGTCATTGGTCACTAAACAGTGTGATATCTTGGAGCTGTGCTGGTTGAGCTCAGGTGCATTTCAGGCTCATCTGGCTGTTCAAACCCTTTGCTGGCTCTTGGCTGGAGCTGGCTGGCTGACAGCAGTGCTGTTTTGCTACTGGTTTTGAGGGTTTTGTTTCTCACTGGAACAGACTCAAAACCTATTGAATGGTCTTGCGAAAAGGATTGTTTTGGAACAACCATTTTTGCATGGAAAAGGTCAAGTTTCTGATTCTGGTCTTCTCTCAAAATCAGAAATGATCCAAGGGTCTCAGACTTCAGAAATCTTGCTTCTAGAAAGTTTGTCGTAGTCTTTCCCTCCTCGAAATACACTGACTTTACTGACATAGTATGGTATCTTTTTTTCTGCTCTTATCCCTGGGAGGACTGGTGTGGGTCTTGTGCCCGCTATCTCATCCAGACTTGGAGTGAGTCGTATTTCAGGAGGGGGCAGTGGTCTTTGGGGTCTCTCCTGATGTTCTCTGCTTAATGCCTTTCTTTAAGAAGCTCTTGAGCTTGCTTAGAACCCGTCATTGCCAAAGCCAAGGCATTTGACGTGAGTTTGTGGTGGTGTCCACAGGAGGTTTTGGATTGGGCTTGTCCAGGATTGCAGCTTGTGGTTGGGTGTTTATCAGCACAGGTGATGTGCTTAGAGGGTATTTGCAATGGCAACCTGGTCTTGTTACTTCCTGGATGGGCTGGCAGAGAGGAGCTGGGCAACTTTCTGTGCATTGCATCACCTTGTCATGACCTGTCTTGTATGTTGGGTGTTGGTGAGCTGGGCATAATGGGTACGCACAGCTCAGGAGGCCTGGGTTCTGGTGTCTGCCCTGTATGCTTAAGCTGGTACTCATCTGGGTTTCACAAGAGCTCTTCCCAGCATCCAATAGGAGGGAGGTGTGGTGAAGAGCCTTCCTTTTTGACTGCGTTTTCCTGGCTTCCTCTCTCACCCTTTCTTCCAAGAGGGATAGCACGGCAGCAATGCCAGCCAGCTCCCAGCTGTGGAAGCTGCAGGGCTGGCAGCAGGTTCAGGCTCTGCATTCTTTGCGGCAGTGTTGGGAATCTGTGTTATCGGAGGGAGCAGGAGCATGATTCACCAGAAAGTCCTCTGGGAAGGCAGTGGGGTTTCGGGTTTCTTGAACTATCAGCTAGCAATTCCCGGACTGTGAATATGTCAGCTCAGTCTCTCCTGCCTGGAGCTTCCTCCTGCTCTCCCTCTGCTGCTGTTCAGACCATACTGAAGGAGGCTTACTGAAAGCAGTTTTTGTTTTTTTTGGTTCGAGGTTTCTTGTCTACTAAGGTCCCAGTCTTTGATTTAAAGCTGTGGCTTTCAGATGTACCAGGGTGAAAACACTCTCTGCATTTAAATGTAGTCCTTCATTCAACAGATATTTATTGTGCCTTGTAAGCCTCCCTCTCTGCATGAGGTAGGCTGGGTTATCCCCCCATGTAATGATGGGGGAATCAAGGCACCCAGAAACAGGGCATCTTGCTCAGGGTCACGAGTGGAATTGTTGGCAGCCAGGAGCAGAAGCCAAGAGTCTCAGCTCCTTGCTTTAACCACTGGGAATTAAGTTTGCTATTGTCTTTAAAACTACTGGGCTGGAGTGGGTGTGTTGCTAAATTGCAGAGAAAGACAGATTTCTGTGCAATCTTCTTTTTGTCATGGTCTTTTCAAGATGTTTTGGATTGTTTGTCTCCTAGTGTCAGTGTATCTACTTTCTAAGTAATTATCTTCTGTGGCCCAGATGTGTGGCATGCCTGCTGAAACATAGTTTAAATCTAGGGGTGTGTGGAAGGAGCTTACAGCAATCGAGATGCCTGTCGTCATGCTGCAGTCAGGCAGATGAGAGACCAGGGTGGATCCCCATTATGCATCTGCAACAGAACCCAACTGTTGCTACTCCCAAAAGCAGAGCAGAATCCACAGGCAGCTGCTTCTGGCATTTGTCCCATTAGGAATTGTGAGGAGAGTGTGGTCCCTTTGAATAGAGACTAGAAGAGAAGGGCTTTCCGAGGTTTAGCCAGGGCCCTCTGTTAGCCTAGGGTGGCTTTCCATCCTGCCTCAGCAAGATTTTGACTGTCTTCCCTGAAGCAGCAGCTAGCACAGCACTTCCTAATGAAGGAAGAAGATAAATGTCCCAAAAATGTAACGTTCTGGAGGAACCTCACAGCCAGTGAGGCTCATCCATGCTGCAGGCAGCACCTGAAGGTTTCATCCTGGTGGCTGCCAGGTCCTCCATGATCGAGATGTATGTTCCCTGAGAACCAGAGGGACAGGGGGTGCATCTCTGGACTCTACAGGCCTGGGCTTTGCAGGGCCCTGGGCTTCTTTCTCTCTGCTCATGCTGTGCTGTACTAGAGTTGTGCTGCAGCGCTGCTGAGCCCTCAGATTTTCGGTGAAGCACTTAGGGATCTATTTCAAACACGATATTGTGCCTGTGCAGATTTGTCATAGGCAGATCTGGATCTCCCAGCCTACCGTCGATAAAGGAGCACTTCCTCAGTGGGTGTAGGGGCACCGTTGAGTCAGTGGGTTTGTGACCCTCAGGACTGTGGTGCGTGTTGCAGGGATTGCGAGTGCGGCACGGTGAGGGGGGTGGGCTCTGGGCCACCAGTAGCGGGAGCTTGCTGCAGGGCTTGCTTTCTGGAATGCTGTCTGGCAGTAACCTCTTCCAGCGGGGCCGAAGGCTCCCTGCGGCTGGCCAGCCAGCGGCTTCGGGCAGCGTGTGTGCTTAACGCTGCAGCTTGTGCCATATGGACCTTCTCCTCCTCCCCGCTTGCCCTCTCCATGTCTCCTTCCCTCCTCGGCTCCCCTCCCCCTGCGAGCGGTTTGACAGAGCAATTGGGCAGGCACTGGGACGGCAGCTCTGACATAAATCTCTCCTGGTGTGGAATGAGGGGTATAAATATCCAGAGAGTGATGTGATCTTTCCAGCTGCTATTAATAGGTCCCTAGAGAACAAGAGCGAGCAAGTGAGACTGGCTGACACTTAAAGGGCTAGCAACTCCCTTATGTGCTGTGAAAATTAATCAGTGCTGTGGCTCACCATCTTCCTCCAGGCTAGAGCAGAGCCCTTGCCGAGGTGCATGGGGAGGAGACGGAGAAAGAGGAGGAGGGAGTGACTCGCTAGTTAGGAAGTGGTGATAGGCCAAGCTGTGCACGTAGGATCCCACTAACTAAGGAGGAATGCCTGGGCGGGCTGTGCCACAGCGCTGTTTGCTGTTTTTGCAGCACGCCAGCAGCCCCTGGCTCAGCTCTCAGGGAGGCAGGTGCTGAGAAGACCCTTTTTCAGGCAGGCTGCACCTTGTGGCAATCGCAGTCTTTCAGGGATTATGGGTTTGCCAAGTGTGCTTCGCTCTTTGCTTGCATTGCAAGGGTGCAGTGGTTTGCCCTGGCAGAGTGAGCACTTGGCTTTTGCTGATGGTGTCTCCAGGCTTGCCTTTGGCAAGCCAGGAGCAGCGTGCTGAGCTCTCGCAGTGCTATTTAGAGATGTGGGGTTTGGTCTGGAGCCGGTGTTTCCTGTCCCTGGGTGGCAGAAGAAATCTGTGCACAGTGTCTGGCTTGCATGGTCCAGATGGGAGGAGCAGACCCTGGGCCCAGTAACCCCCTTTCCTGTGTACTGGGAAATTTCTCTGCCTGTGCACGGGAAAGGTTCTTGAGTGCATTGTGGGGGTGTCATGCAAAGCATATAGCGGATGGGAGCAAACAGAGAGCAGTACCTCAGCTTCCATGAACACGTGGTTTACTCTCTCTCCCTCCTAGTTTCCAAGTAGTAAAAACAACCGTGACAGGGTTAGGATTAGGGTGCAGTTACCAGGGTTGTGTGTTAAACCAAGGGTTGGTAGTGGCTTTCCAGAATACATGATGTGATGCGGAGCCACATCCCAGACATCTCTAATGCCTGTGCAGAGCTCCAAGGGGAATATTCCTAGTGCAAGCCCAAGAGACTCTACCAAGGCAGCTAGATCCTGCAAGGAGGGCTGTTGCAGCATTGCTTATCTGCATGCATGTACCCCAGCCTAGAAGCCTCCATGCTCTGCCCTAACCTTCTCTTCTCTGTCAGGCTCTGCTTCAGCCTGCAGGGCTATTCAGAAAGCTGGTCTGGGGCTGGAGCAGGAGAGCCTCACCCTGCTATCCTGGCAGGCCTGTGGCACATTGCATCATCCTGCTGGGCTGGAAGTTCCCGCTGAAGTGGACGTTCCCTCGCCCAGGGCCTTGGAGAAGGAGCTGGAATGGTTCCTCAGCCCCCTGGGAGAGGCATGGATACCTCTTGCCTGATGAGTGCCTACACACACTGTCTCTGCCCTTGCCTTGAAGCCCACTGCCACCTTCTCAGTTGCCTTAACTTCCTTTGTCCCCTGCTCCATCCCAGTTTTCTTTTTATAGGCTTGTGTCAAGACCATTTTCTGTCTGGTCTATTGTGTCCTTTGTGTTTTGCAAGGCAGAGGAAATTTATTTAGCAGCAGAAGGGGTCCATGAAACCAGTAGGGTACTGGATTTCTGTTCAGGGTCACAAAGTTGTCTGAGCTCTGGGAACATCTGTGAAATAGCTCCGAGGACCCTTCACTCACTAAAGGGCCAGGTTGGCATGGAAGCACCCATTTTTCATCGTGGCCTTGGAAATGAGGGCTCTTGTGTCCATGCCTGTGCCTTGAAATGCTGGCAAGTCTGCCATGCTTGATGGGAGTTTACAGCTAGTCAGCATATCACTAACTGTGGAGCAGGATCCATTGCTCAAAGGGGCCCATGCTCATTCCTGGCATGAGAAGCTCTGGGTTATGCCTTGCCATGGGCTTTGTCTGGCCCTGCAACCAAGCAGCAGCCCCAGGGCCCTAATCCTGGGCTGTGCCCCCAGCAGCTGCCCCCCACAGTGTGAGGGGCACTGTGGTGACTCGCTGCCCTTTTCTCTTGCAGGTTTCTGACCGAAGGGCCTGGGAGCTACCTCCACTGGTGCTGTGGGAAGCTTTAGCCAAGCCAATGCACCCTGACAACAAACTGCCCAGCCATGGCAAGGCAGGCAGCAGCGGTGCCCTGGCCCAGCACCACAATGTGAGCCAAGCACCCACGTGTAACCTGGGCTCAAAGGGTGTGGGGGCAGGCAGCCATGGCAGCAAGGCCACTCAGATCTCCCCTGGCAACTCTGGACTGAAAAACAGCCAGAACACTGTCCCAAACTTCAGCTCCTTGAAGGGCAAGGTGAAAAGGGAACGAAGCATCTCGGTGGACTCTGGAGAACAGCGAGAAGTCAGCACCCCATCACAGGACACAGAATCAAAAGGTAATGCTCTCCTAAACCTCGCCTCAGCATGTTGTCCCCTCAGTTGCTCCAAGCATCCTGGCAGGATTTGGGATGGGAGCAGCTGTGAGCATCTTGAGTCTCTGTGATGTCTTCTGTCCAGGCTTGTCCTGGCTGCTTGTGTGACTTTGCATCACTGCTTGTCACATTTGCAGTTTTGGGACCAGAGTAGCTGAGCATTCCTTAGCTTTGCATTTCACTCCGTAAACTCTTTGTTACACCCAGAATCTTGGGCTGATTTTCATGGGCTGTTGAGGCCATCTGAGCAACAGTGTGGTTCACCGAAACTGCCCCTGCTTTGCAATGTGCAGACTGTCAACTTGAGACCGAGTTGAGTTGTTTTCTGTCTCCTTGCTGTTGGCAGAGAGCTGCCTTTGTGGTGTTCTTGCAGCTGCCCAACAACTCGGTCATGGTTAGCAAGGAGGTGCTGCGAGGGTCACTGTCTGAACAGTTCTGTGGTTTTGTCAGCGATGGATGACTCTTGTGTTACAGCATGTGGCTTCTGGAAAAGGGCTGAGTCAGTGCTTCTAAACCCTTTGGCTTTCCTGTCCTTGCCAGCCTTCGCCATAGCCTCTTGCATTCCACCAAGCTTTGTGCTCAATGGCTCCATGGGACGCTTGAGCATCTCATGGATGGTAGGAGGAGAAATCCCCGTGGTGCCTTTGGTTCCAACTGAGACTCAAACCCGGTCCCCAAACGCAGAGCTGCTGTTCTGGCTTGTGTCCCTAAGCATTTGCTTTCACAGCCAAAGCTGTGTTGCCTGACTGGCTTAGGCCAGAGCCATGCCTTGGGTAGAATGAGTAGACTGTACCTGAGGTTGCAGGGATAACTGTACACCACTGATCAAAAGCATTTGTAGCTTTATCCAAGAACTGTCTTGTAGTCCACACTTCCACAAGAAAATTATTAAAATGGCTTGGTCAGAAATGCTCGAATCTCCTATGTTCCTAATGCACTGATAGATCATGTGAATATGGCTTGGAAACCACTAGATGATGTAAAAAAAAGCAGGCCAGACAATGTTATATTAGTTAAAGCACAGGACTGGAAGTTATCCATCCTGTGTCTGGTTGCTGTCCCTGAGTCTCTGAGTGCTTTTAAGGCAAGCCACTTCCTCTCTGAGCTACATCAGTCCCATCTGAGAAATGGAGGAAGCACATGAGTTTATAGAGGGCATGAATGCCCCTGCCCGATTGATATCAGCAAAGGGCAAAGTCTGTCTCTTGTTCCTACGAAGGATGTGAACGTACTATTCCATTCTGTATTCAAGTTTTGATTGCTAAATCACAGACCCTTTAAATTTATGGGTAATGCCCAAAGCTCTCCTGTTTGGAACAGCAGGTAGACATGTCCTATGTTCACAGACTCCTTTCAGGCAATAAGAAATACATCTCATTCTAAAACTCTGGCTCTCACACTGGAGTCCCACTAGATCTGGCTACAAAGACAAGGAGGCCAGACTGAGTAGATGCTTCAGGTTCTTAAGCAGCACTGGGCAGATGTTGGTGTAAGGCCTCTTGCCCAGTGCATCCCTGTTGGGTCAGCACAGCCAGCATGCAGCTGGGCAGGACCCCAGTCTTCCCAGTCCCTGCCAGGTCTTCTCAGCACCTCTCATGGCTCTGTTGCTTTGCAGGTGAGGTGGCTCCCCGTAGCAAGCGACGGTGCGTGCTGGAAAGGAAACAGCCATACAGCGGCGATGAGTGGTGCTCTGGGCCGGACAGCGAAGAAGACGACAAGCCCATCAGCAGTGCACACAGTGAGTGACTACCTCCTTACCAGCTCAGTCCAAATCTTGTGTGGGAAGGGATAGTTCCACTTCTCTTGTCACAGCCTGCTCCTAGGTCTGCGTGGTGGGAATGGGCCATGGTGGGGCTGCCCGGGGGCAGGGTCTGGAAGTGTCCCCGCACCAGGTTCCCAGCAGACGTCTCCTGTGTAAATGCTGCAGTGGCAGGGTCGGGCTGTGGGAGTGGCTGCTGTGGGAGAGACAGCTGGAGGGGAGCAGGGAGCCAGTTGCGTTGAGGGGCGAAGGGAGAGGAAGGCAGGGCATGCCCCTGGTAATTGCAGCGCTTATTAATATTAATTGTGGGTCTCATGCGATAGCGGCTGGCCATGGACGGCCACCCCGCGCCGGGCGGGCCGAGGCCGCCCCCTGCCGGCTGCTCGTCCCGGCGCTCCCGCGCTCTCCTCTGCTCCCGCAGGCTGTAATGTAGCAGATCCTGCGATGTCCACGGCCCCACAGCTTGGCCCAGGGTCCAACCCGCTGCCGAACCTGAGCGAGAGCAGCGCTTCCGGCGTGCCCCATGGTGCTGCCCCCGGCTTGCGGTCAGAGGCTGTGGGAGGCGGAGGCAGCGGAGCAGGGAAGCAGCCGTCACAGTTCGTTTATGTCTTTACAACGCACCTTGCTAACACGTAAGCAGTAAACCCCCTCCCTCCCAGCAGGCCTTGTCACACCTGTCTGCTGCATACAGCAGTGGAGTGCAGAAGAGCTGGAGAGACCTGTGTCTCTCTGGTTGCACAGAGTGGGAACCCCCTGGGGTTCAATGAGGTTTATTGGCAGCCACTGCGGGTGGGCAAACTTGGACTTAAGTGCACACTTCCTCCTGGTGATGCCTGGTGCTGCGCTCTGCTGTAGAGCACATTTAGTCAGCATCCAACAAATGATTCACCCAAAGCAGTGCAGGCTCCTGGGCTGATTCAGAAGTATCTAAGGGTTGGGTGTCTCTGGGAGTGTCATGTAACCCTTAGGTGTTCTCCACATAGTTCCTTCCTTCTGTCCTGCATTGTCTCAGCCATGGGATCATAGCAGTTTAGTTAGTTTAGTCTGTGTAGCTTAGTCTGTTTAGTTTTAGAGCTCTGCTGTACCACAGGTCTGATGTGGAAGATCCCAGAGCATCTGGGTGACAGCCACCTTAGGGCAGTAGGCACAAGGCAAAGCCTGTCACAGGACATGGGAAGAGGGAAATTCGAGGCCAAGTGATCATCAGTTGGAGATCCTCAAGGGGCATGTGCTGGAGAGGTGGGAAGACTCTGAGAATATTTACTCTTCTCAGTGTCCTCCAGAGATTTCCTTCTTTCTGCAGGACTGAAGAGCAGAGGTGGTAGCTGGGGATGGGTAGGATGGGGCACAGTTCCTATTCTCAAACGATTTGTGCTCTTTCCCCAGAGCTGCAGAAGCTGTCCTGCAGGGCCGAGCCGACTCCATTCTGGCCTACCATCAGCAGAATGTCCCGCGGGCAAAGTTAGACCAGGTATATCAGCTATGAACCAAATGCTCCAGTTGGCATGTGCTGCCAACTGCTACCCTTCCCCAGCCCCTGGCTCAGTTGTGAAAGAAGGGGTTGCCAGAATGCCCTTTCAGTGACGTGGGATGCTGCTTTGCTGCAGAAACTCTTTGGCACAAGCCCTTGCTGTTGTCATCTGTGAATAGTTTGGGATGGGGCATGGCCTGTGGCCCCACAGCCGTGTGGGCAGAGTACCTGCTTGTGCATTCCCAGGGCATGTAGAAAGGCCTGCATGTTTCCTGTAAGGAATGAAGATGAACTGCCAGGAGGCAACTTTTTGGGACACCCTGCAGGGTGCAGGGAAGAATACCTCTCTAGGGTTTTTACTTCTCAAGTTTCTTCCCCTTTTCTCTGCTAGGCACCTGCTCCTAAAGTGCTGGGGGTTGCTGAGCCACTTCCGATTAACCCTCCTGCTGCCAACACTCCTCAGTCCCAGCCACCAGCCCCTCAAGCGAGTCAGCCACAGCCGCAGCCTCCGCCACCACAGCCTCCACCCCCCCCACCTCAAACCATCAGTCAAACAGCTTTGCCTGCACCTCAGGAAGGGACAAGTGAAGATGTCCGGAGAGATCTGACTCCCAACTCTTTGGGGAACAACAGCAGCAGCAACCAGTCTGGAAACAACCACCCAAATACACCCACTGCATCTGCCAGCACCATGCAGCCTGGGCAAGTGGACTCCTCTGCCGCCCCCAGCTCCAGCCTTCTGGGAGAGGGTCCAGGCCCAGGGATGCCAGGGCAGGCAGGCCTGGGCCCCAGGAACGCCATGAACTCGGAAGGGCTCTCAAAGGAGCAGCTGGAGCACCGAGAGCGCTCTCTGCAGACCCTGCGGGACATTGAGCGTCTGCTGCTGCGCAGTGGGGAGGCCGAGCCCTTCCTCAAGGCCAGCCAAAATGCAGGTGAGGGCGGCACTGCCCCTCAGCCACAGGCTACCCCTACTCAGCCCCCTGCACCCTCTGCCAGCATGAAGAAGTATGAAGAGCCTCTGCAGTCCATGATATCCCAGACTCAGAGCCTTGGTGGGCCCAGCCTAGAACACGAGGTGCCGCACCACCCTGGCACTGACATGGGGCAGCAGATGAACATGATGATGCAGCGGCTGAACCAGGACAGCCTGACACCGGAGCAAGTGGCCTGGAGGAAACTGCAGGAAGAGTACTATGAGGAAAAACGACGGAAAGAGGAGCAGATCAGCATCCACGGCCGACCCATGCAGGAGATCATGATCCCACAGTCGATGGGGAGCATGATGATGCGTGGGCCCCCACCACCCTACCATAGCAAGCCTGGGGAGCAGTGGCCTCCAGGGATGGGCAGCCAGCTGCGGGGACCCATAGATGTGCAGGATCCTATGCAGCTGCGGGGAGGGCCACCCTTTCCTGGGCCACGGTTTCCTGGGAATCAAATGCAGAGAGTCTCCGGCTTTGGAGGGATGCAGAACATGCCCTTGGATGCTCTTGGGCCCATGAATGCCATGCAGAGACCAGTCAGGCCTGGCATGGGATGGAGCGATGATATGTCTCCTATGGGAGGCCCCGGGAACTTTCCGCAGGGCACCCTGCCCTACCCATCAGGGCAAGGGGACCCGGAAAGGTTTATGAATCCCCGTGCCAGGGAGGAGATTCTGCGGCATCAGCTCATGGAAAAACGCCCAGTGGCAATGCAGAGGCCCATAGGAATATCTGGCAACTCCATGAGCCAGAGCATGGAAATGGAGAGGATGATGCAGGCTCACAGGCAGATGGATCCATCCATGTTTGCTGGCCAGATAACAGGGGAGAGCCTGAGCAGTGCTGCAATGGGAATGGATTTTGCAGGCACTCGGGGGATGCTGAGCCCCCCTATGAATCAGGCAGGCCTTCGGGACATGGATGCACCCGTGGGCCCTGGCAACCTCAACATGAACATGAATGTCAACATGAACATGAACATGAACCTCAATGTCCAGATGACGCCACAGCAGCAGATGATGATGTCGCAGAAGATGAGGGGCCCCGAAATGTTGGCCCACCAGGGCATGAGCCCTGAGGAGCTGGCCAGGGCAAGGGCTCAGAATGGCAATGGTAGTGCAATGCTAACAGGGCCCCAGAAAATGATGATTCCCTCCCAGTTCCCCAACCAAGGACAGCAAGGCTTCTCGAGCGGGCAAGGACCTTACCCTAACATGCCTCAGGAGATGGGCAGTGGCTCGGACATATTCAGCCCTGAGCAGGGCACCATGCCCGTTGGGAGCATCAGTGGCACCACCAGGCTCAGCCACATCCCTCTGCCTCCGGCTTCCAATCCCACTCCCACACCAGGGGGAAACCTAGCCAACATGCACCCAGCACCTTCCCGGGGGCTTGGCCGCCGGCCCTCTGACCTCACCATCAACATCAGCCAGATGAATTCCCCCAGCATGGGCCACCTCAAGTCTCCCACCCTTAGCCAGGTGCACTCGCCACTGGTCACCTCCCCGTCTGCCAACCTCAAATCCCCACAGACACCCTCACAGATGGTCAGCATGCCACCTGCAAACCAGTCAGGGCCTCTCAAGTCCCCCCAGGTTATGAGCTCCTCTCTCAATGTCCGGTCTCCAACCAGCTCACCAAACCGCCTGAAGTCTCCTTCTATAGCTGTTCCTTCCCCTGGTTGGGTGCCATCTCCCAAAGCCACCATGCCCAGCCCAGGAGTCAACCAGAGCAAACAGACTCTCAGCATGAACTCATCTGCTTCCATGGGAGCACTGGATCAGGGTATGCCGGGTATTTTGCATGCGAGTGCATGTCTGTGCTTGGTGAGTGTGTGGACAGTGTTTCTCTCCAGCCTGTGAGCTCTTGCAGGAGCAGGAAGAAACATGTGCCTGTGCTTGGCATCTCATGGAGCAAGTTTATTTCCCAGGAGTCCAAACAGGGCCTTTTCAGGTAGATGAGAGGGTGGGCAGAGCAGCTTTTACTGCTTACGGTCTGTGATAAGGCAGCAAAAGTTGTGTCTGTGCTGGGAAGTCAGGAGCAGGTTGAAGTGGAAGTCTGCCACTGCTCTGGAGCAGGGTCTCTGCATGCTGGGCTGGGCCAGCTCTGTGTTTTGCAAATCCTGTGGTCACTGCCATCGGACAGAGGGGACAGGGTTGCTCCCTCATGGTAGGTGTGTGGACAGTACTAAGCTGGTCTCTCTCTTGCTTGCAGGTTCTCTCCCTTCTGGGCCTCGGAGCAGCTCTTCCGCGCCAACCAGTAACACCTCTAGCACCATAAATCCCAACATGCCTTTTACTTCCTCTCCAGATCCATCCCCCTCTCAGAACCCGCTCTCACTGATGATGTCCCAGATGTCCAAGTATGCCATGCCCAGCTCCACACCACTTTACCACAATGCCATCAAAACCATCGCCACCTCTGATGACGAGCTGCTGCCAGACAGGCCTATGCTCCCTCCTGGAAGTATGTCAGGTACGTACTATTGGAACTGGGCTTGCAAGGGGTCACACTGCCTCATGGCTACCAGTGGGCCTGAGGCAGCAGGTGGAGCAGGCATTAGAAACTCTCTTGTCCCCCCGTCTGCCATGTCAAATGGCTTAAATTCACCCTCACTGGTAATAGTTTGTGCGTTTCTCTGCCCTGGGCTGAGGCTACCTATCACCTTTTGGCTTGGGTGTGCTCTCTTGAAGTACGTGAGCAAGTCTGGCTTGAGACAGACAGACATCCTTCTTCCATGAGCTCTGGAATTTTTTAGACCTACCTTTACCCCATGTGGAGGCATTGGCCCTGAATTTTCATGGCTCCTGGAGTTTTCTCAGGCTCAGGACTTGCAGACAGAGGTCTGTTGCTTAGAGCCTTTGTGTTTCTGTGTAGCAAGATGGGCATGCTCCGAACAGGGCTTGGGAATCTGGTGTTTTGAGTGAAGCCCAGGTGCCTGCACAAAGCAACTTGTGTTGTAGGTAGCATAGTTGTGATTTCAGTAGGCCAGATATGCTTCACTAGCTGGTGGCACTGGTGAGGACAGCTAGGCAAATGAGTGTTTTTTGTCACTTGGTGACCAGCCCAAAGGGGAATTCCAGCGTGCTTTACCACTTGATTTAGGGGTTTAAAGCTGTCTGATAAATATTTTTGGCAGTTTTCAAAATGAAAAATCAACTTTTTGGCTCTTTCACTGCTGAGCATTCACTTAGGTTGACTGCAGGCATGCAAATGCATTGGCTGCCTCCACAGGCATGGATGGCTCTGCTGTTCCAATGGGCACAGGCCTCCCACCCGGACATCCCCTGTGTTGGGCTGCCCACTCTTCTGCTTTTTTCCTCCTCACCGCCCAAGGTTGTGTGGTCACTGGAGCTTGCTGGGTGGCAAACCCTGTAGCCCGCAGTGTTGAAGGGTCACTCCTCGGTGCCTTCTAGGTGGCTGGGAGCCCTGCTTGGAGCCCTGCTGAGACCATGGTGTAGGGCTGTCCCAACACACCGAGCCAGGACTCTAAAATCAGGGGGCTGTAAGAAACTACAAATCCCGCATGGGACTAGATGAAGCTGGAAGATCTCTCTGGTGCTTGTGAGCTCAGGGAGCTGGAGTCTGGGTGCTTTTTCCTGATATTAGTGCTTTGTAAGCCCATCTTGCACCTTTGTACTAAGCATCACTCTCCATGCTCAGGGAATTCTGAGCTTGGCAGGCTTTCAGGATGTGGATTTTGCAATCCTAAGAGATCTGAGAGGAGGGATAACTCTTCTCTCTTTTTCCTGTCCTTAGGTGTGACGGGGAATCAGCCAAATCAACTGCACTTGAACTCTGTGGGACCTGGATCCTCTCAGAGCCCCATGGGAATGAACCTGCCTGGTCAGCAGCCCCTCTCCCATGAACCGCCCCCCACCTCCATGATGTCCTCCCCAAACCCTCTGGGCTCCAACATTCCTATGCACCCGAGTGGGCCAGGGGCAGGCGTGCCCCCTCAGAACCCCATGATGATGCCCCCGGGTCCCCAGGACTCATTGAACCAGCAGTGCGGCCCTGTGCCCAACAGTTCACAGATGATTCCTTCTAACCAGCTCGTGTTCCCCCGCATGCAGCAGCCCCACAACGCCATGCCATCTCCTGCTGGAGGCATGCCCATGGCTGCCAGTGCAGGAGGTGGCCCTGGGATGCAGCAGCATTACCCACCAGGGATGCCCTTGCCACCTGAGGACCTTCCCTCCCAGCAGCCTGGCCAGATGCCCCCTCAGCAGCACATGATGGGCAAGAACATCCCTCCTCGGATTGGCGAGCCCTACCCGCCCGTGCTTCCCGGGGTGGCATCGGTGCTGAACGACCCCGAGCTCAGCGAGGTCATCCGCCCCACACCCACAGGGATCCCTGAGTTTGATCTGTCCAGGATCATCCCATCAGAGAAGCCAAGCAGCACCTTGCAGTATTTCCCCAAGGGCGACAGCCAGGCGCCGAAATCTCAGCCTTCCAACCTTCACCTCATGAACCTGCAGAACATGATGGCTGAACAGCCCCCGGTGCGGCCAGGTATGAATGCCCCCAGCCTCCCCGGGCAGCAGGGCGTGCAGAGGGGACTCAGCATGCCCATGTGCCATCCTGGACAAATGCCCATGTTGGGCAGGACAGGCATACCACCCCAGCAAGGCATGATGGGCAACAGCATGCACCAGGGCATGATGTCTCCACAGCAAAGCCTGATGGCCCAGCAGAATTTCATGCTGATGCAGGCCAAACAGAGGAGCATGTCTGTGTCGGGGGAGATGTATGCCCAGACAGGACACATGATGTCACCTCAGGGCTCTCTCATGGGGCCCCCGCCTCAGCAGAACCTCATGGTCACGCACCAGATGAGGCAGAGGAGTGTCTCCCTGGACAGCCAGATGAGTTACATCCCCGGGCCTGGGAACATGGCGAACTTGCCTTTCTAACCCCGGCTGGCTCTCAGGGCTGGGGAGGGGACTGGGCTGCCTCTACAAACATTTTTAAACCTTTCTGCAGGGAGGGTTGGGGGCCAATGCCAGTGGAGGACACCACGTGGAATGCTTTTCATATCGGATTCGCCTCTACACAGAAAACCATATGTGCAGTAAACTTGATGTGAATTGGGTTTCTTTTTCCTTTCTTTTTTGGGGAAGGGGAGGGTGGAGGGGCTGGGAGTGGGGCTGTTACTTTGAACCCTGAGTGGAGACTAGGGACATCCAGACCCTGTGGCAGTTTGTAAAGTTTTCACTTACAATTTTCCTCTGTCAAGTGTTTTTCTTTCCCCTTTTTCCCCCCTCTCTTTTTCCTTTTTTTTTTTTTTTTTTCCCCTCTCCTTTTTAAGCAACCAAAATGTGCAAGAGGGTTTTTGGAACTAGCTGTAAATAGGTCGCTGGGAAAGGCAAAACTTGTGCTGGTTTTTAATTGTTCTGTATTTCTGTGTTTTAATAGAAGCCTCAAAACATGTTTTAAAAAACAAACAAAAAGACATGCTAAAGGCAACAGTGTACAAGGATTGAAGACTCTCCTTGAGGGGGGAGGGAGGAGGATCCCCAGGGTGCACAAGATGTTGAGAGATCCCATTGTAGCGTGACTCTGTGTCAGACCTGTGTTGTTCACGCATCTGGATGGTTTGCATGTGCAGGGGGCGGGGGATGTAGTGTCATGCAGATCTCAGGCTCCTGTGAATGCTGTGCTGAGTACACAAACACAACCACCACCAAGAGCTGTGGCCCAGGTGAAACGCTGCTGGAGCGGTCCTCATCTGGCAGGGCAGAGGCCATAGCATCATGGGATGCAGCTGTTGCTGCTCTGTGGCCAGAGAAGCTGCTGTGGCCAGAATGGGGAGCATGCTGGCCCTTCAGCTGGAGAAGTGGCGAGGATCTGGGCTTTGTAGATGATAACATGCTGGACCCGAAGGTCTTGACCAACCTGTCACCTCCACTCCCTTCTCTTCCCTTCACAGTGTGTCCCCTGGTGGCAGGGTGTTATAGTGTGTAGGGACCGATGGGCTCCGAGGTGAGTGAGGTGATGTATTTTGGTGCTTCCAGGAGAGGCTAGCTAGGAACCTTGCTTTTCTGCAGCCTTCTTACACCAGTCAATGACCTATACATCACCATCCGCCACTGTCCTGCGCCCCCTCTGCTGTTGTATGCTCTCCCAGGTCTTCCTTATGCTTGTCAGTCTTTCTCCTCCAGAGTTTCGCAGGCAGTCTTTGTTCCATCTCGCCCTGAGCTACTGGCAGCAGCCCTGCCCTGTGGCACAGGAGAAGTCCACCTGTTGAAGAGGACCTGTCCCTGTGTGCAATACTTAGTGTAAGTCTTGTTTGGTGTCAGTGGTGTGGCTATTCTGTGCTTCAGACAGAAGAGGCTGAAGTTGCATTGCAATCCCTCATTTCCAAGCTGGTGGAAGTGTGCCATTTAGAAAACTCTGGCTTTTCTGGATGCGCTCCATCCTCCCCATCCTGCACTCTATAAGGTCTTCCTGCACGTGGTCCTGATGGTCTTTCCTGTGTTTGTTCACGGAGGGGAATGTGGGTTGACGTGCGCACACTTCTGCATTCACAGCAGTGTCTCTGGACCTCTGCAGGGACCCCATTCCAGCATCCAGCGGTGAATGTGGGGCATGCAACTGCTGGGGGATCACTGCTTGGAGGATTATGTCTGCAGAGCCAGACTTTAGCACACTCTCTTGTAACAATGCTCACGTTTCCCAATTTGGTACTGCTGGGAGGAGAGGGCTTTGGAAAGGGAGATTGTCAAGTAGTGAGTGAACAGCAACACTTTTCACCGTCTTGCAAGCTGTTTGAACAGGCGGGTGGGTTCTGAAACATCAGCCCAGCAGCTCTCTTGATCCAATCTGTGAGAAGATGGAGTCACAAAGCCCAGTTAGGAATACCTTGAAGCTTTGGGGCATTTTTTAGCAAGCAGTACTGGGTAAGAAGCATGGGTCCGGATCTGAGGAAGGATCTTGCTCTGATCTCCTGCTTTGTAGGGGTTTGTTGTGCACGATGTGAGCAAGTAGCATTTTTTGAGGTGGTAAAACAGGCAGCAGTCATCCCTGCCTTTGCAGTTGGAGCAGAGGAATCATCTGTAGCTCAGGCTTTGGACCTGACATGTTAGCTGGTTGGATTCTCCATCCTTTCAGTGTGTTCACATGGGAGGATGTGGCTCAAACAGATATAGCTATTTCTAAGCTTGACTTGCCTGAAAGGCCGTGGCTTCTCTTGACTGCACCTTGGGGTGTTGGCTGCTGGTAGTTTCTCATAAACATCCAAATACCAATTACAGCCTCAAACCCTGCTCATTACCCACCAGCTAGTCTTGGCTAATTTGAAGCCATAACATTTTCTATATGGAAGTTTTTTGTTTGTCTGTAGACAGCTGTTGTTTTAGCCCAGTTGAGATCTCCACGTGTTTGTACCTTCCCCGTTGTCCCTTTGGCCCAGCCTGACACAGAAGTTGCTTGGGGCTTGCAGTCCTGTCTTTGTGGGCAGTGTGTTGTCCCTGCTCAGCAGGAGCCCCCCAGGCTGCACGGCTGTGCAGGACTCAGGAGGCCAGTGCTGGCTGCTCGCAGGGGCAGGGCAGTGCAGTGCTATTTCTGCCTGGCAACAGAAGGAACACCTGTCCTTCAGTGACAAATAAGAAGCAAAGCCTTTTTACTCAGCAGCCCTGGATACAAAAGGGAAATGCCAACACTAGGTCAGAGCTGAGGATTCTAGAGCAGCAGCCAGTGCTTTTCTGCAGAATTGCACTGCCCTGGAGCCAGCCCTACCCCTTCCACTGAGGGGGCTAAACAACGGGGAGCAGAAGTGCTGCCTAACACCCCTCTGCCCTGGGCACCACTCACAACCATGTCTGTGACCATCAGTATGGCAGGAGTTCCTCTGGAGGCTCAGCGACAGCCAGTCCTTGTTAGACCTGGGCAAGGTTTGCCATCAGCTGGTTGTCTGCTGCCGTGACCCGTGTCTAGTCTTGTGTCTTGTAGTTTATTGCTCGGCTTCTCAGCTTGAGTTCTATATACTGACTCCACCTAATCACAGTAGGTTTGCCCATCTTTTAGCCATAACTTTGCCATGTTTTTCCAGCTCCAAAAAAGCATATGCTGGGGAACCGCATCTTTCAGTACGTCAGATAATCACGCACCCGGAGTTAGCTTTCACGTTGAGGTAAAGGTGACTGATCTGTTCTCTGTCATCCCGTGGAGAAACTTCCCCAGTCATTTTGTACCATTATATAAATATATATATATAAATATAAATATATAAATACAATATGTGAAGACATCTTATTGGTTTTTATTTGAAACAATTTTTAGGCTTGTTTTTGGGTATCTGTGCTGCCTGTAATGTATTGACCTGTTTTATAGGTGCCTTTTTATTAAAAAGACAAATTTCAAAACTTGACCTTGTGCCTGTCTTTTTCCACGTGATTTTCCATGGGACTGCAGTGGGGACAGACAGTGCAAGAGCTGCTGGGAGGTTGCGTGGGCATCGGGGGAGCCCCTTCTCTGCAACGCTCCCAGGCACACGTTCATTCATGCGTTCCTGGCTCGCGCTCACGCGCACACGCTCCACTGCCTGCCACGGCCCTGTGATCATCGCGCGCGTGTAGCAGGATGCTCTGCTGAAACACCCCAGCTCTGTCTCCTGGGAGATTTGGTTGCCCTGTAGGAAATGCAGAGCAGTGTGCTGTTGTGAGTCTTTGTGTCCTTGTCTTTGGGGTTGCCTTCAGCAGAAACCAAGGCTTTCTCTGGGTTGTCTGCTGGAGCCTTGTTTGCAGAGCACGGTCCAGGGCTGGGAGCGCAAGAGTGTGTGTTGCGTATGGTGGTGAGATTACCTTCCCACACACCACTTTCCCACTCTGTGCAGGAGCCACCTGGGAGCTCCCTTGAGCTCAGTGCCTCTTCCTGGTGGCCTGGGTGGGCAGTCCATCTACCTCACTTGGTAGCAGTGGAATAGGGGCTGAGCCGAGCTCCACAAGGGAGCCTGAAGGTCTGTGTGCCTGAGGGCTGTAGCGTCTGGGGGTGGCTCTGGCGGCATGAGAGCTTACTTAGCCTGGAAGCCCACTCTGGGCGGTGTGATAGCCATGCAAACCTTGAGGAGACAGTGAGGGTTTCATTGAGTGGAAAGTCCAGCTTCCTCTGCGGTGAAGGAAAGTTCCTCTTGCTTTCTTGTCACCATTCAGCTGGTTGGCTGCAGGCAGCTGTGGGAGGAGCAACGGCTGCTCTTTGGGGAAGGATCTGCCAGCTCTGAGCTAAGCCATTCCCAGGCTGGCTGAGCCAAATGCAGGTGCAAGGGCAGCTTTCCACTCGGGTTAGCAGCTGCTGTAAAACTGGGGCAGCAGATGCTCCAGTTGGTGGAAGAGGCTCTGGAAAGCAGAGCGCTAATGTAGATCTGGACTGACTGAACACAGCAGGGCATTCTGGTGAAGGGGAATCTGAACAAGCTGCTTCTCTGAGCTCTGTGATTCCCGTGCGGGAAGAGCAGCATTTGTCAGAAAGGGGCTGTCTGCCCACTCAGAGCTCTCTGATGGGTTTCCCTCGAGAAAGTGACACGACTGCAGACAACTGCTTACAAGCACGGTCCCTGAGAAGGTGTTTTATTCAACTGTTTATTACAGCTTACATCAAAAATTTCTAAAGGTTTGTACATACCAGTAGTGGTATGTACATGTACCAGTACTAAAAACTATAGTAACAAAATAGATGTGTAATCAATCTGTTCACTCGTACTTTGTGTGCAGATTTTCTTTTTACTTTGTGACCACAATTTTACACTCTCACTGTTCATTTCTTCAGTAACAGTTTTATGTAGAAACACAGTTCTCATCAGAACTTGCTGGGGAGGTGTTTACAATGCACCTACAATGGGTCTACTTACTGGTAAAACCCTGGAGAACACAAAAACAGGCTAAAGAGAGCTGCTCTTCCTCTGCTGCATGTACATGCTTGAACAATTATGACACCATTACTTGCAGGTTTCATCTTTGAAGATGTGGCACTGTAGGAAATGGTGGACTGCCTTATACTTGGTGAGTTTTCTCCTGAAGTCACAATGTGAGAACGAGCTATTGAGATGTCTACCTGAGCCAGACTGAGGTAATGTAACCCCTTCCATAATGCCTGGTCTTTTTAGAAGGATCCTTGGGTACAGTGGAGTTCAGCTGGGACCGAGGCCTTTGTTAGTGAGCTGAACTTCAGAAGTCAGTTTAGCACAAAATTCCTGCTGTGGCAGGAGAACTGACATTGTTCTGACATGGCTTAAAATGTGAGGTGAAGGGTAGAGCAGTTTTTAAGGTGTGCTTGTGGTGACAGTCATGCTCATGTGATGGTTGGTACATGTTGGCTCTCGTTCAGTTCAGGCTAGAGCACTCTTTTGCAACAGAAATGTCACAGAGCAACATTGTGGACTCACTGCAGTGTTATGCTGTGACAAGACCTCCTAGGCAGCAGCAGGCTGTCTGAGTCTGCTAAACGCTTCCCCACACACCAGCCTGTGGTGCAAGAATGTAACGACAGGAAAAGCTGCTGCTCTTATTTTGAATCAAAGTATCATCAAGCTGCCCTGATCTGAAGAGTTACTGGATACTTGCAGTTCAGGGCATGATCACCACCCAGGTTTGTTCTCTCTGGACGCACTTAATCTCTGAAAGCCCTGTTGATGCAGGTAGAGGAAAAATATCAGAAAGCATAGTGCAAAGCAAAATGCTGCATTTCCTCTCACCTCACTAAAAAGAAAGAGAAATTTTGCAAATGAGCTCTTTTCCTTACTTTGGGGCAGTGGGTCTCCTTGCTCTCAGAACCCGCAAATTGCCATACAGTGAGCTGAAAAAAAAAGTTACACCTTCCGACTTACAAAGCTGTGTAGTTTCTGTCCCCTGTGCACAGTCACAAGACAGAAGCCATCTCTTCACATTCTGTTTTTCCTTAAAGGAAAATTTTTGCATAGTCAGTCATTCAGTTCAGCAGCCACTGACAGAAGATCTTAACAGCAGTAAAACAGATCAAATGAGTGGGGAAAGATGCAACTGGTGTCAGGAAAGGAGTCTGTGACAGTCAAATCTTTTAGTCTGTGGGAAGACCTGCTGGCATGAACTATGTCGGGCAGGTGAATGTGCTGTGGCTGGCTGGGGCAGATGTCGCAGCAGGAGGACAATGTTTCAGTCAGAGAGTGTTCAGCACTGTATGCCCATGCTATGCGATTGTGCTCTACAGCCCCCATTAGTCCTACCTACATCTCTCTTTCCAGTTGCTGTGGCCAATGAGTCCTGCTGCTTCCTTTGGGCGCGTCTATCCCAACCTGAGAAAGTGAAATGGAGACCTGCTTAGCTTAGTTGGCTGCACTTTTTGCCTTTTCCCTGACACCCCAGTCTTGTGCCTGGCTTCAAGCATAGGATGCCTGCAGTCAACATTTTGAGGGAGAGGTGGGAATGTCAGTTCAACCCACTTGGGTTCATCCAGCCCCACAAGAGTGACCACTGAACAGCCAGCATTCACCGCCAGGCAGATCTCCACAAGTACGAGAACCAGGAGGAGCCAGGCAAGGTATCTGATGGGATTCGAGTGTTCGGTGGCTATTGGACCTGTTTCCTGAGGAGCAAAGAAAAGTGGTGGGGATGCTTGTGAAACTTGTAACTGAGACCACAGCAAGCATGCCACTGGGAAGGAAAGCCCTAGGCCAGTTCTGTCCTGCAGGCAGCCTTTCCCAGCTAGAAGGTGGAGATGGAGGTGGTGTTGTCAGAATCAATTCCGCTACCCTTCCTTGTCACCTCCAGGATCTCCTGCAGGGTCTCCTGGCTTATGCAGCCAAGCTCCTGCAGGATCCGGAAGAAGTCATTACGGAACTTGACTCCAATGAAGGCATAGAGGATGGGGTTGAGGCAGCAGTGTGTGAAGCCAATGGCCTCTGTCACCATGATGGCTATGTCCAGCTGGTCTTCCAGGAGGCAGTTCTTGGTGAAGGCTTCTAGCTTGGTAAGTGTGTTCAGGAAGATGACGATGTGGTACGGGCTCCAGCAGAGTAGGAAGATGCCTGTCACCAGGATGGCCACACGGACAGCTTTCTGCCTCTGCAGGCGCTGGGACTGACAGAGCACCCGGACAATGGCCATGTAGCAGTAACACATGACCAGCAGAGGCACAAAGAAGCCCACGGTGTGGTAGAGGAAGCGAGTTGCCAGCCAGGCGTTGTTCCCATCGATCCCAACCTCTGGAAAATAGCAAATGCTGCGGTTGCTGTCATCTGTCCAGACTTCCATGAAGATCAGATCGGGTAAAGTCAGAAGCAGTGAGCAGAGCCAGACAGCCGTGCAGGTGAGATGGATGGAGCGAGCTCTGCGTTTGCGGTAGGTGTGGATTGCATAGACGATGGCCAGGTAACGGTCCACCGCAATGCACCCCAGCAGCATGCTACTGCAGTAGAAATTGATCTTGTGGACAGCACTGAGTATCTTGCAGAGGAACTTCCCAAATACCCATCCAGCCAAGCTCTCTACTACGCTGAATGGGAAGGTGAGCAACAGTGCCAGGTTGGCCAGGGTGAGATGGAAAAGGAAGTTTTCCGTGGTGGTGCGAGACCGCTTGAACCTCTCTAAAATGACCAGGACCAGAGCATTGCCTACAGTCCCCAACATGAACATCACCAGGTAGATGAGGGGCATGAAGACCTTTCTGAAGGGGTCCCTCTGGTTGCCAACCACTGATGAGGCTGGGTTGAAGCAAAAGTAGCCCTCCAAAGAAGGGGTGGTATTCTCAGCTTCATAGTACCCACTCAGCTCCACCTGGCTCTGGGGAACAAGAGAGTCTCGTTAACAGAGGGGAGTTTCTGGACACAAGAACCCAGTCCCTCAGCTGCACCTGGCAGATCTAGAGTGGAGCATCCCCACATCCTGAAGCCCACCTGCATCAGGAGGAGGTGCTGCCTGTCTGCAGTGTGATGACCTTGGAGGCCCCCCCAGTGCCAGGAGGTGCAGCAGCCTGTGGAGAGGGTTGTCTCCATCTCTGACAGCAAGAGCTGCTCAGGATCTAATCTCTAACTAGCATATGTGGTGATGTTCTGGTGTCCAGTCAAATGAATACTTTCATCTTCTGGTTCTTGCCAGTTTACCTGCTGGTGGCTCTTGCTTCCTCACATAGCATGGAACGCTCCTCTACCAGCTTTCCTGATGTTTTCTACCCATTTCTGATTCGAACCGCCCCTCTCCTGCCTGCTGTCAGGTGGTGGGATTGCACTGACCCCCTTCTCCTCAGAGGCCTGGGAGCTGCCTGGGGCAGGGCACGGTAAGGTGGAGACAGCAGCAGCTGTCCTTGAGATTGCTTTCCACACACTCAGAGAAAGGTGGGGGGCAGGTGTTCAACACGGCTGGAGGAAAGCCTCTGAGGCACTGTGGTGCCATAGCTGGAGGAATGGACGCTGGAGAGAGAATATGTTCTGTTGGTAAACCTTGCAGTTCTGAATTAATTGCAGTCAGGGCAGAAAACACTATTGAAAACACCACTTGGACCCCAGGCTGATACACAATAAGGAAATTGCAATGGAGCTGCCACAGATGTGATTTGCTCTTGGACTGCTATATCTTTTTGCCAGGTGAGTAGCCTGTAATGGGGTTGAGGCTGCGGGCAAGTATCAAGTGCTGGGAAGCTGGAGTTGCACTCAGAATGAGCTTCCTGGACCGTGGGCACACTCCAGCTGGCCTTGGGCACCTTGCAGAAGTTGGGTGTTCACAAAAGTGAAGGGCTGGGATAAGCACAAAAAGAGAGCAGTGCAGGAGGCTTGTGACAAGCTGGAAAATTAGTGACAAGTGGGAAGAGCTCAGCAGCAGTCACCCTGAGGTCCCCCACCCACACCCTCTCCAGAGACTTGCGCTGAGACTTCAGTGTTGACCACAGCGGAAGTCTCTGCTTGCTGCTTTCATACCTTTCACTGCCAGCTGCAGCCGTTTGCACCTGCTGCTCCTTCCCTCCTCCGCCAAAGTTCCCGTCTAAAAATACCAGCCCTGCTTTACACAGTTTTAGAGTTGATTTGGAGGGTTTTTGCTCACTCAATGTGCTATTAAGCCAAATGAGTGTGACCAGCCTGGAGTCCTGCATTGTTCCTGCCTAGGGAAGCGTGATTTATGTTTCTTCTCTCTCAGGATGCGACTGGGGTAAAGAGGCAGTGGCAGGGCTCGTCTGAACTGCTCTGCTCTGCTGCTGAAACCATCTGCATGGCTCCAGGAGGGGTCAGGCACACTGATGGGGCAGAAGTGTACAGAGCATTACTAAACATGTAGAGCAGACAGCTGGCTCAGGTGGTCCCCCAGCAGTGGATGGTAGGAGGGCAAACAAGCCCTTGGGAAAAGTGCAGAATAGCCTTGCCCAGCTCTTGCCCTCTTCCCTGGGCCTCTGCCTTTGGCTACTGCCAGAAAGAGTGCTGAGCCAGACTTCGCTCTGACCAAAGTTACTCTTGGTCTTGCCACCATCCCGTTCTTCACCAGCTCTGCATCCAGGGGTGCTGTGGCTGTGCTCTTATGCCATGGTGCTTCCTCCTGAATGGGTGAGAGCCAGCCCCCTCAGGGGGCAGGAATCCCCCCTACCCAAAACCTCAAACACACACAACTGTCTTCCCCTAATGTGATGATGGGGCTGCAAGTCTTTGGTGAGAAGCATTTTGTATTCCCAAAGAACATTTATTTTTCTGGTTAAGGGTATGATTTTGGAAACTGGGGATTGCTGCTAAAAACATAAGCCTTTAGAAATCCCTCCCAGTTATTTTTCTCCCTGGCTTGAAAACATTTCCTAGTCTGTACCCAGACTTTTCATCAGGAATTACCAACACATGTAGAAACCTGTGAAGTGTAGTCCAGTGCCCAATCCTTGAATCTCTGTGAGAAAAACAAAACCAACCCAAAAGCCTTTGTAACTTAGTGGAGTGACCAAACCAGACTGCTGAGCCTGTGCAGGTGACTGTGTGGAAAACCCCAAACAAATTATATGTTAGAATGGGAAATTTCACTGGGGAGAGGTTGGAGGATTCCAGCTTTGAAGAAAAAAAAAAGAAAGAAAGGATGAGAAGTGTCCGGGTTTGCTGACTGGAGTGTCAGTCCTGCCTTGGAGCCATGCCAGCACCACTGATGCTGATGGGTGGACAGCCTGGGTGGTGTTCAGTGGCTTTGGCCACTGACCAGCTTCCAGCATCATCTTGTATTTGGAGCCAGAGGTGCAGAGGCTGAGTGCCACTATCAGACACCATCTGATTGCTGATGGGGAGCAAGTAGAAGGGCTCTTACTATAAAGCTACCTGCTGTGGGCAGGGGAAGCATGTGCAGAGCTGAGTCTGAGGCATCCTCTCATGCATCTCCGAGCAGAGCAGCATGTGTGGGTGGAAGCAGACAAAAATGAGTTGGAGGCATGAGGATGAAAAGTCACAGTCCAGGCTGAGACAGGAAGGACAGGGACTAGAGCTATAGGAGATGCCAAGCTAAGGATTCTGGGGACTCTGCTGCTATTCCCAATTTCTAGGACTGGAAGCAGGTGGTTGCCTGATCTGGGATGGGAGAAATCAACCGTGTGTATGCAGAGGAACCTTTGAACAGGTCTCCTGCAAGACAATTGCAGCCAGATTTGGGGGTGGGAGAAAAAGTGGTGTCTCTTTCTGTAACAACTGCATACCTGGGAAGGTTATTCCTGTGTGCGTTTTGTTCTGGGATCCCTCTGCTCCTGACTCACATCTCAGATTTATTCTGGTCTCCGTGTGTCAGCTGTTTTTCTCAGTTCCCCACAACTGTCAGCGATCAAAACATTTGGCTGCAGAAGTGAAGCAGCTTGTGCGCTATTATGGATTTTCCATGGGAGTCATTCCCTTCTAGACCATGCCAGGGCTGGGAGCAGTACATTTTATTCCCAAAATCTTAAAACTGAAATAGCCCACATCAGCACAATTTACTGACAGAGCTTCTGCTCATAACCTCTGGGTGCTGAACCAGGGAAAGCCAGGAATAAGACCAAAGCCTATGGAAATGCCACATTATTGTAGTGCAGGTGCCTTTATGCTCTTGAGTCATGTTGGTCCCATTACAACTAAAACTGGCCTGCAGCACCTCAAGGGACCTGGTGGAGATCTCAATGGTTCTTCTGCAACTGTGATTTTGGTTGTCTAGTCTGCAGCTGAGGAAGGTTAAGCAAGCAAAGCATTTTTGCTATGGAGAAAGGGGGTTATCACTTTGGACACATTACTTTTCCACAAGGTTACGGAGTCGATGAGTCTTGTATGGTATCAAAATTTAGGTGAGGCCCTCACTGTACTCCCTGTGCAATGCTCACTGTGAGATAAAGACTTTTGGTGCAAATGTTCTCATAATTTTTCCTTCCACAATTGCTCAATTGGCCAAGCAGTCCTCTCTGGTGAGTGCACAAGGCAGGGCTTGTGTCTCCACTTTGACAAGACATTTGAAAACCTTTTTTGCAAATCTTTGTTGGTAGGTTGTTGCTACAAGCGCTGAGTATAATTAAAGCAACATATGGCACCACCAAAGCAAATACTGTGATGCTCATGTGAGATCTGTGGCCTCCCTGTTCCACGGAGGGAGCCAAACCTGGGCAGCTGCCAGGAGACGGAGGTGGGAAACAATGTATGTCAGACTCCTAACTGCAGGAAGTCTGAGAAAAGGTCTAAACCCTTCCTGCTGCAGCACCCCACTGTGGGTGCTCAGTCCTAAAATTAGCTGGGTTTCCCCACCTCACATGGGGTCTCCTTTATGACTTCAAATAATTCAAAGCCAAGGTGAAGTCACTAAGCTAAGGATTCTGGAAAGTTTGCTTAATCCTCCTGCATTAAAAATCATGCAGGTTTACCACACTTGCTCATAGCTCATGACATGCTGCAGGGCAAGGGGACAGCATGCTTCCATTTCCATGGTTTTCTGGTGGCAGGACAAATATCAAATGGAGAGTTCATCTGGAAGAATCACCAGCATGATGATGAAAAACATTTGAGTTTGGTTTAACCTCTCAGCAAACTTTAGTGCTTCCACTGAACTTCAGCAGAGGTCAGGGAAAGAAGTTTCTTCTGAAAAAAGTTGTAAGGAATGACCACCATTTGCAAAGGATTTTTATACTGGATGAACCAGAAAAAGGAGAGCAAGGCTTGCTCCCCCATATTCTTGCTCTTCCCTGGTGTATAGGAAAAAGGAGGAACAGAAAATTTTGTAAACATTAAATCCAGTATTTCTCCCTTTAAAGAAACTAAAACTGAGATCTGCTGCAGAGAGCTGCTGTATTAAAAAATAAATTCTGAGATGATAGTGCTGCTGTATACTTCCCCTTGGATAGCTCAACATACTCTAAAAGGTGCAGCTTCTGTCTTTCATTTGCAAACACTGGGGAGAGAACTATGAGGCAGAATGCCTTGTGTCATCGCTCCCTGTTAGAAGTACTTGCAATTTATTTTCCCCTCTTCAAAATGCCCCTCTCGTAAATATACTGCATATTCCCCCTTCAACAGAGTCTGTGGCAGCCTGTATGTGGAGAAAGCAAGCAGGGGTAGGAGCAAGTATGGTTGCAGCAAGGGTTTTCACACACAGAGAGAGAGAGAGAGAGAGAGCGCACTGCTTGGATATTCCAGTTGTGCAAGGAGACCAGATGAGGTGTACAGGGCTTTGCACACTGTGTGCACAGGCATTTATACCACTGAAGGCTGGTGCAGAAGGTGCCTGGCTCAGAATGAGTGATGCCGAGGTGTCAGGGGCTGCACGGGCAGCAGGTAAAAGAGGCTGGGACAGTCTGGCAGTGGGTATGGGGCTCCGGAGCCCTGCTCTCCCAGGGAATCACCTGGCCCTTTGCAGAGACTGTGGTCTGTCCTCATGCAAGGACAGCGCTCAGGCTCAGTGCTTGCCAGAACGGCTGCACACAAGGCCCCAGCAGTTTGGCAGCTTTCCCCATGGGAATACCCAGCACCCTTGGATCAGCTACAGCCAAACTGCACTTGCTCTCTGCAAGCAACAGCCTTGTGTTTGCGGCCAAGTTGGGACTTAAGGGATGCAAGGGCTGATTGTGCTGTCTTAAGAAATGGCTCAAGCTCTTCCTCTGCCAATAGGAGGGTGAGAAGACGGACAGACAGAAAACAGGTCTTTCAGCCCACCCCAGCTCCACCTGCTCTCCCTGTTATCAAGCAAAGCCAGTCCCAACTCACCAAGTCATAGGTCTCTGATGAGTAGCTGACAGGCCCCATGGTTTCAGGAGCAGGATCTGTCTCTTCTACACAAGTTTCAACAGAAGTTCTTTTTTGGGGTGGAGATAGTAATTTGAGTAGGGAGGGACACAGCATGTAACAATAGGCTATTTGCAAGGCAAATGAGCTCCAGGCATAGTGACCTGATTGATGTAAGGATTAGCGTCTAGCTTTATCATCTTTTTACGAGGGCGGTAAGTTGATTTTTAAAGTACAGTTTGAAGAATCCACATTCCTTTGTTCTGTACCAGAGAAGATTCAGAACATCCTTACAGCTTCCCTGGAAACTTTCAGGGCTCTTGCCCATGGCTGTCCTTGTCCCAGGTGGTCCGAATGGCTTTGGAAAGTTCTGTGCCAAGGAACACAGCAGAAACCTCCTGGATCCAGGCAGCATCTCTGGATACTCCTGGATCTCTGGAGCCATGCAGGACTTCAAAGAAAGACACCTGGAGGTGAAATGCATAGATATAGTCTGTATGACCATCACTCTCTGCCTCGAGGTCCTTCTGGCTGCTTTAACCCCAGTGGCTTGTGGTTGTCTTCTGCTCCTTCTACTGCTTCGCCCCTCATCTGGGCTTGGGGGGAGCGTGAGGTGGCTTGCACAGGAAAGCACAGGAGGGGCTGGGCAGCTGCATGACACAGCAAGGCCCCTTGATTTCACAAGATAGTAAAGGATAATAAGGATGGGAAATCAAGATTCTCTCTGCTCAGGGAAATGTGCATTTTGTTCAGTCATATTACAGCAGCAGACTCATGATGAGAAAACCCCAGTATGGGTCAGCAGAGCATGATGGCATTGCAGCTGGCATTTTGGCAGGAAGCTTTTCCTCTGTGAAGAGCTGATGTGGTTCCACAAACACAGTGTTTGTTCTCTTCTCTGGGCACAGCTGCACCAAAGCCTCTGTAGCAGCACGGGTGGGACTTGGACTGCTGAAGGAGGAGGTGGTGTTATTCAGGTGAACACTGTTTGATTTCATTCACTACTCCTGCTTCTTAGCAGGAGCCAGGTGATCCTGACTTGATGGGCCACTGCTGCCCCAAGGATGTTGACTGTCCTTCCCTGCCCCGAGGACCTTCATGTGCACCTGCATTTGCACGTCAGCCTCTGGGCACCCTTTCTCCCAAAAGGGAGAGGATGGAGAGCAGCAAAACTGGAGGGAGGCCACAGGGAGCTCGTTCTGTGCCTCCCAGGGGGGAACACAGACTGAGCCCTGCCCTGCTGGGACTGTGGGGCAGCGCGAGGAGTGGGGCACCACTGAGCCTGGGAGACTGAGAGCTTGGGAAGGATGTTCTCATTCAGCTAGAACTGGAGGGTGGAGCACACAGCACCAGAGACTTCCTTTAAGGGCCAGCAGCAAGGGTGCTGCTCCCTAAGACAGGGTATGTAAGGTACTGTGAGTCTGCGAGTGAGGAAGTGATGCTGCGAACCTCTCAGCTCAGAGGGACAGGCCGCAGAAGGCAGCTGTGGGGAACTGCAGTCTGGAAATGCTTCCCACGCTGTAAGCTTGGCCCTCAGATGTGGTGTGGGAATGACAGGGGTTCAGGGAGCCTGCTCCAAAGCAACAGACACAAAGGATTTCACTTGCAAACACACAGTACACCAAGGAGATGACTGCTGCCCTACAGGCATGACCTAAGGGATCTTTGTGTTGCTGTAATGTGAAATGCAAGAAATATGATAGTGAGAGAGAATATCATAGGGGAAAAATAAATGGGGGGAAATTGAAATGAAATATAATGTCCCTACCCAGGCAGGTAAGGAACTGACTATGGAAGAAGACTGTTACCAAATTCCTTAATATGAGGATTGTTTTGATGTCTATACATGGGAATTCCTGTCTGAGTTCTGGTTTTCTGCCACAGATACAAACTCTCACTGGAAAATTGTTCTTGTTTTATAAGGAATGTAAAATTTCCTTAACTTGTATGCAGTATCTTGATAATAGGAAATTATTCAGCTCTACATGATGATGACAAAATGCAGTACTTGTGTGTGAAGTTGCTCTGTTCTTTGTAACCGTGTGACTTACAAGCACTTCTACTGGCCAGTTGGCCACTGACCCTGACTTTCTGAGCTCTGCTGGAGAAAAGCCAGATTGTTTCTGGCTCCTGAGTCTTCTCAACTCTAATGTTCTCTGTTAGTCTTATTTGCTGTTACCATAACTAAAACTCTGTGCTGCCTGCAGATGTCAGGTATGTTTCCTAATCTGATAATTTCTGTTACTTATTCTTTCAAGATCAGAACATGCCACTTCCTGCACAACTCATTGGTAAATGTGATGCTTAGCCCTGCAAGGAGCTGAGATGAGATGCCAGCCACCACACAGCAGGGCCAAAGCAGCAGCAGGAGAATGAAAGTCATGCCCAGCATCTGCCTCCATGTATGGGAATGGAGCAGTCAAGGGCTTCCCAGCTGTGGCTGCTTCGCCCTTTGGCCAGTGAGTAGCACAGCAAGAAACAGGTGAGGTGCAGTTTTCTGCTCCCCTGGTACGTGAATGCCTGTCTTTTCAGGTTCCTTTTTTGCTTGCCATACTTGGAACAGAAGCTTTGAAAAGAAAGAGGGATGCATCAGGTAGGAGAGAGGTTGGCAAGGGAGCTTCACATCAGGGTTGACCTCTGTGCCCTGGGGAAGGGCAGCTCGGTCCAGGGTAGCAGCCTCAGAGCAGAGCAGAGTCTGCAAGGAAGCAAACAAACGAAATCAAGGACAAGGCTGTGCTGATCTTATCTGCCATGAACTGGGCAGATATTAATAATATTACAGAAGTTATTACAGAAGAAGGGGCAGCAGGCCCGATGGAGATGACTGTGCTGTGGCTGTCAGAGGAGGGAACAGCGTGGCTTTGTCCTCCTGATGTGACCTGCAGACTTCCAGTGAGGCTGAGGGCAGACATGGCCCCACCAGCCCCGGGTGTGCCTTTGGCTGCTGGGAGTGGATAAACCACCACCCCAAGACGGCTGTAGATGTGACGAAAGAGATAAAAACAGCCATATCAAGGTAAATGAACTTCCTTCCCTGTCTTTTTGTGCCTGCTTCGGAAAACATTTGAACAAGAATTTGTCGGCAAAGCAGTTTTGGAATTACCAGCATTTTTAGGCTAGTGTTTTTAAGATCACGTGACCATTATGTTTGTCAAAATCTGTGTCTAAGGAAAAGCCGTCTGAAAGGGAATGGCAATTCCCAGGCCTGCCGCGGTCAGAGGTTACAGCTCCTGCCCGCTGAGGGTCAGCCTTTTGTTCCTACATTTGTTTTCGCTGTGTTTTAATGACTACAGAGCGAAGCCACGCTAAGTTTCCAGGCGTTTTCTTCATAAACAGGGCCGAGGGACCACGCTGGCTGAGGTACCAGCATGACGGACGGGCGGGGCCGCCGCTGTCACGTGACGTGCGGCGCACGCCGACCCTACACACGTACGGACGTCCGTGCGTGGTGCGTGCAGGGTGGGGCGGCCCCACCCGGCGGGAGGGGGAGGGCGCACGGGAGGAAGGAGGAAGCCGCCATCTTGGAGCGTCGAGTCGCCATAACAAGGCACCGGGGCAGCGAGAGGATTTTATACCTGGGCGAGGGGGAGAGCGGCTGGTGGCGGTGAGGACGGGCCGGGGCGCCGCGGCGGGCGCGGCTCTTCGGGAGGGGGGCGGCAGAGGCCGGCACCGGCGGGCCAGGCCTCGCGGCCTGCGGCGGGAGCGCTGGGCCTGAGCGGGGCCTGGCGGGGCCGCGGGCAGGACGGGGGCGGCCGGGCCGGGCCGGGCCGGGCCGGGAAGCAGCGGGAGCGGCGGGGCCGGGGTCCCGCACGGGGCGGGCCGGGCCGGGCGTTCTATTGTTCTGGGCGGGCGGGAGCTGCCGGTGTGGCGCAGCTCCGATCCGCGGGCGGCGCCGGGCCCGCCGCTCGGTCCCGCAGCTCCGCAGTGCGGCCCGGCCTCACCGCGCACATCGGGCGCCGCGGGGGCTCCCTTTGTGACGGGCCGAGGGAAGAGGAAGGTCCGGAGCGGCTTCCCTGGCCGCCTGCCCGCGTCCGGGGAGCACAGATGGGCTTCGGGGGCCCTTTTCCCTTTGGACCGCCGGTCTGCGAGGTGGTGGCGCCTCTTGTTGGGGTTTTGTTGGTTTCGGTGAGGCTGAGTGTTCTTTATAATCTCTGTCTTCCTAAAGGGTAGTTACGGGCGGGGGAGGGAGTGATGGGGAGGGTGAGGTGCTGAGAGGTTTCATTTCCTGCAATATTGGAGAAAATATATCCTCGGCGTTGGTACCCGGGACGCTGGCGGCTCTGGTTGCCTTCGTGACTCATCTCGTCTGGTTTTTACGAAGTTAATGGCCGGGAGAAATCTCTCGTCAAAGATGAAAGATAACTAGCGGAAAAAATCCTGGTTCTGCGAACTTTAAAGTTGTGCTGTGGACGCATTTGGAAACAGCAGGGAAGTCTGGGAAGAGTCTGAATTCCTTTTTCATTATCTTGAAATGCTTTTATTCACTGGGGAAGCACATTTTGTTGTGAACGCTGAGGTTAGGAAACAATAATCTGCTGGTTTTTCCTTTGCGTTTTCTCAAGATAAAAGATGCCTTGTGATAAGAAAGCGTAGGCAAGCCTACTTTCTGTTCGAAAAGATTTTGTATTGGGAATGTTTTTTCTCTGTGATACCACAGTAAGGAGTCTTTCGGCTCTGGTCTGTGCTTGCTTTCTGTAAGGGGCAGACGTTGTGTTGTCTGTCCATGGTTTTGCCAACCTTTCTGTTACATACGCAGTCAGTATTAAGTCTTGTACCAAATGTTACCTTTTGAGCACAACAGAAGTTGTTGATGACTGCTGGAAGGTAAGGTCACATGGAACGCATAAGCAGGAAGCTGGATACCCAGTATACATGCGTGTTACTGCCTCAGTTCAGGCTCAGTACCTTGGACTCTCAGAGGCACCGGCTTAGTTCAGTGTGATGATATTCATGTTGCTGCATTGAAAGGCCCTAAATCAATACCCAACTCAAAACTCTGAGTAAGCTGGGTTGAGCTAATGTTTTGAGTTGGAGGAGGGTAAGCTGTTGGTTTGGGTTTACGTAATTTCTGTTTCCCTTTCAAATTGAAAAGGCAATCAGACTAACTTAAGAGTTTT